TCAATATTTGATCTTGATATCAGTTCTTTGTGAAATGACTGATAGGAAGTTGTGCTCACGTGTCATCCTATTGTTTCTTGCTAAGGACAAGGTTCTTGGAGAAGAACACTGCTGATTCTGCTCCATCCTGCACTACACCATCTTCAGTGGGAACAGTCTTTGGATCCTTCTTTGGGCGTGAACACCTCCATTGAGAGATAATATTTCTCTGTATCAGGTATACCTCTCTCCTACTCCTTTTGGTTCAGATCTGGTTCAGTTTATGGTTCAAGATTGATCCTTGAAAATATGATTTTCTAAATAGGAAATGCGATTCCCAGTTGAAGGGAGAGAAAAATTTTTGAAATTTGCCCCTTTATTCTACAAGATTTGGGCGTCCATACAATGGATCTCTCATCCCTTCACTAAGGGGGAAAGACGTAGTGGGGTGTAAGTGGGTGTTTACAGTTAAACACAAGGCGAACAGGACAATTGAAAGGTACAAAGTAAGATTAATAGTTAAGGGTACACTCAAGTGTATGGGGTTGAATATGATGAGACTTTTGCTCTAGTAGCTAAGATGAACTCAATTAGGGTCCTCCTATCATTAGCTACTAACCTTGACAGGGAATTGCACCAATTGGACAAAGAATGCTTTTATAAATGGTGACCTAGAGGAGGAAGTGTACATGGTTCATCCCCTACATTTTATTCCAAGGGAAGTGAAAATAAGGTGTGCAAGGTAAGAAAGTCTCTTTATGGTTTAAAGCAATCTCCTATGGCTTGGTTTAGTAAGCTTCACATGACAGTTCAACAGGTAGGGATCAAGCAATGTTAGTCTAATCAGACACTCTTTGTGAAGAGATATTAGGAACAGGTTGTTGTATTGATAGTGTATGTGGATGTTATCATCATTACAGGAAATTTGAAGTGAAAGATTTAGGTTCCCTGAAGTATTTTCTTAGAATTAAAGTTGTTTGCTAAAAAAGGGGTATCTTCATTTCTCAAAGGAAGTACACCCTTGATCTATTACAAGACATAGGCAAGTTAGGTGCAAGGACATCAGATACTCCCATGGATGTTGATCACAAATTGGGTGATTGTGATGGTGAATCTTTAAAAGTTCCAAAAGTTAGTGGAAAATTTGATTTATTTGTCCATGACCTGTCCAGACATTGCATATTTAGTTGGGGTCTTAAGCCAATTCATGTACTATCCTAGGAAACCACATATTGAGGTAGTAGAGAGAGTTCTTAGATACTATTTAGTAAACATAATTACCTAAAGATGGAAGTCTTTATAGATGTTGATTGGGAAAGTGCTATGGATGATAGAAAGTCCAAAAGTGGGTATTGCACATTTGTGGGAGGAAACCTAGTAACCTAGAAAARCAAGAAACAAAGTGTGGTAGCAAGGTCAAGTGTTGAAGCTGAATATAGAGCTATAACACATGGGGTGGCTTAAGTTCTTTGGCTAAAAGACCTTTAGGGGAGCTTTGAGCTGTTTACAATCTTATGTCTCTTTATTGTGACAACAAGGCAACCATAAACATTGCCAGCAATCCTGTCCTACATGAGAGGACCAAGCACATTGAAGTGGACAAACACTTCATAAGGGAAAATTTGAAAAAAATAAAAATTTGCATCTCTTATGTCAACTCCAAGGAACAACTTGCTGATGTCCTCACAAAAGGATTTCTATACTCGCGGCACAATGAATTATGTGACAAGATAGGCATGATAGATATATTCATCCCAAGTTGAGGGGGAGTGTTGTGAGGATTATATAACTGTTATTTTACAGTTATTGTTAGTGTGATGTAAACTTGAGATGTTGTTAGCCAATTAGTTTCTTTCTTTCTTATTAGTTTGTTACTAGGGAGTGCCACCAAGGGTATACTTGTAATTTTTCATTCATTTATATTAAGTTAATGTAAATAAACAAACTGGCTGCCGCTAGCTATAGTTTGAGACTCTCAATCGTATCTTCCTCTTTTCCTCTCTTCTCTCTCGTCTCTCTCTCTCCCTCTCCATGAATGATTACAACAAGCATTAATAGAAAATGCCAATTAAAACACACATTTATAATAGAGAATGACCATGTCTTAGCAACTTGATTTCTCCCTGTAGTATTTGTAATAATAGAAGACATATGTGGTACACCAAAATGTCCACCTCCAATTCCACGTTAGGGGCTTCCTCCATGATTTTTCTTTTATAATAACAGGTGTACACAACAGAAAAGTTAATATTATTCATTAAAATGAATTTCAATAAACCATAACAAATTAACAACAAAGAAAAAAATATACTTCTCAGTGGGGGAAATTCGAGGGCAACAAAGCAATCTTACAATTGGCCCTTCTCTATCAATTAAAGGTTCCGATTCAAGGAAAGTCCTCCTTGCCTACTCTAGATCAAGACAACCCCTGGGGGCAGAGGATGGGCCAAAAGTTGAGGCTAGAACACAACATGTAATCGGAACCGAGGGAGGGGCCCTAGGGAAAAATGGTATTATCATGGATGAAAAGGCTATACCACCCTTTCCGCTCTCTACCCATCCAATCTTTGTCGTTTGCAAACAAATTCATCCATCACCCAATCCTTATGCTTGAATCTAGTTGCAAAGACCTGAATTCACAATAAACAACAGAGAACTCACTTCTTGTAGTGATGGCCAGGACAAAGATTGAAAGAGGAAAGTCATTCTTCTTCAACCTTTCAATGGACTATCTTATAGTTCTTGAAAATTTTCATCAGTTGGGTTTTATTTTGAAAATTTGAGGAATAATGGAGGGTAAATTTGATATTTCATTTTGTTCCGCTAGTGCTTACTAGTGGTGTTAATTGTTAGAAAACTTAAGGATACTTTAAGACAATATGTAAATAGTAAGGGTAGAATTAGTCAATTTTCTAAATTATAGGGTTATTTCAAGAAATTTGCTCTATCCATAATTTTCAAAAGAAAAGTATAAACTTCATGTTAAAGTATAGAAAATCAACATATTCCAACATATTTATGAGAAGAAAAAGAAGAAAGAAAAGAAAATTAAAAAAAATATAGGGGTTGAACCCCTTATTTCTGTTATGGGAAAAAAAGAAAAGAAAATGTGGAAGAAAAAGAAGAAATTAGTATATAAACACACAAGATTAGTAAAGAACAAGAAGAAAATGTATTGATTGGACAACGTTTTATGTTCTTCCTTATTGGTTCAAGTTTTAAAATCTTTGAGGGTTTAATACAACATTTAGCAATGTTTGTGTGATTAAACCTAACAAATAAGAAACTAATAACAAGAAATCAATGTGTAAACATACAAAATAAACATTTTAGTTTAAAAATGTCTATTTTATAATTATAACCTTAAAAAATAAAAATATAAAAATTTTTTATAACATGCTATAGAGACTACTTAGCGATTAGGTGAGGTGAGCCTCCAAAGGCGCCTTGTTGCCTAGGCACCCGCTTATGCATCACCTTGACAACTTGGCTCAGAACACTCTCCCAATACCTTAGGAACTAGGGTTTCCAAAGGATCTACCATCACAGTTCAGTTTCACTCTATTGTATATGGATGACATCTAAGTTTTTGTACTGTCCCTTTCATGGTAGAGGATGCTGTTATTACATCGATCCCACCCTCTAATGAAATCATCAACTGAGAAGTCCTTAAAAATCGTAATTGTTTTAACTTTTAACCCATTGGATTACTTTGAGCTTAAGGCCTTCTATTAAAGCATTCACATTTTTGTATTGGCCCTTAAATATTCTGTTATTTCTTTCCTCCCATATTGCCCATAAAATAGCTCTTCTTGTTGCTCTCTACATCACCTTCCCCCTTCATTCTGGCATCAAATTGAGACTTGAGCTGAATAAATTCGCAACTCCCAGAGGTGGAATCCATCTGCATTCAAAGAGAACAGAAAAACTCCCAGACACAAGATATACATATGGACAGGAAATTTGTAAATGGGGCAAAGTCTCACCACTAGCATTTGCACAAAAAACAGATACGAGGGGGAAGCTGTTCTTTGGGGCATCCCAGATATCAATGAAAGACTGTTAAAGATTTTGCCTATGCTGTCAAGGAGATATGTGAAGCTTTTAAAGAAAGACAGCATAAGAAAGCAGGTGTTTCTGGTGATGATATGTAGGACTGCTCCTAAATGGTGTTGCTTCATCAATTGATGGTGGAGAGGTTGAATCAAACGATCAGAAACAGACAGTTGGACAGAAAGAAAGTATTAGTAATGGGGCTTCACGCAATGAACGGTATGTACCGGAATGCTTTAGAAAGTATTACAAATTTGTGCATGATATAAAATATAATAGGTTTATATTTATGCATCTTGCGTATTGGATACCTCAAAATCAAAACTCAAATTCATCCCAAATTTTATTGGGTTTTGATAAACAGGTCTTATTAGGGTCGGAATGGATCTGATACCCGAAAATTCCCATAAAAGTGCCATTCCTAAGTGGTAGCACGTAATACAAGACCACATTCTAATTGATTTATAAGTTAAAAGTTATAATTTTTATATCTTATATAAAATTATAATAAAAATATTATTAGTGCGGGCTGGGCCGGGTTTAAAGTATTGGGCCCAAGCCCAAACCCAGCCCAAAATTTTCTGAGCTCGATGCAGGCCCGGGCCACGAATGATCACCCCTAGCCTAGGCCCGTGTTTCTGGCCCGAGAAACAGGTCGGGCTAGGCACGGCCACATGGGCTTACTTGAAGTTTTTTCTATAATTTCAGGCCCAGACAGACTGGGACATGAACATGATCATCCAAACTCGGGTTCGTCCAGGTATCAGTCTCTACAGCCCATCTCAGATTGATCAGAACCAGACAAAACACTTTCTTTTAACTCCTGCATGAAAAGCTTTTTTTTCGTCCATCAAAATGGAATCTTTCATTGGAAATATAAGAAACACGTTTCGCAATATCATTTGCCTACCATGGTAAGGCGCAAACCAAAATCTCCAGACTTGTGAGTCTGTCCACTGCTCTCCCTCCACTCCAGTCTCCTGTGGTCCAACACTCCCGGCCAAAACACCATTAATGCTCAAAATAAAATATAAATCAGTCAGAAGGAATGAAATAAAAACCTAAATCCGCCTTCTCATACCAAACCCTAAAAAAATATCCATTTCAATTCAAATCCACCTGCGCATAAAACAGGAAACAGAAAACACTCACCATCTCCCGCTTCCTTCCTTCCTTCTGTTCCCCTACTACTTCTATCCATTACTCTCTCAGTCTCTCTCCCTCTCGCTCGCTTCCTCGCTGAGCAGAAGCACAAGCAGCAGCACCCAAAAGAAAAGAAGGCTGTGAGATGCTTAGTGATGCAAAAGCTGCTTCGTCGAAGCCCTACAGGCCCCCTCCTATGCACTTCCACCGTCACCACCCACTCTTCCCGTTGGCCCCTTAACAACAAAAAGAACCACCTCCACCTCCACCACCACCAACTCAACTTCTTTCCATTCCGGCCACAATCCCCAATGCCTGCTACCGCTTCATTCAAACTCCGGGTATCCTCAGGGCCCATAACCCCTCCTACCGCTTCTCTTCCCAAGAAGCCCACCGCGGCCTCTGCGGCCGCTGCTGTTCCTTTTGCCTCCGGTAGCTGCGCGGGGTCTTGTCGGTGCTCGCTCGAGAGTGGAACGCCTGGCAGAGCTTGGGTTGTCTTTAAAGAAGGCCGGTCGGCTTTACGGCCTGCTTGGTTGCATACTAAGTCCGAAGGGGGTTTTCCGGTGGTGGTTGCTGAGGCTTCGAGGAATTCGGAGAAGGTTGGGAGCGGTGGGGGTTTTGATGCAGGAGGAACCGAGGAGGGTTCGGAGTCGTTGCCTGGTGGTGAAGTGAGGCCGTTACGGTTACAGAGGAAGCAGAAGGTTGGGGGCTCTGCTACTGCATTGCCTGGGAACCCTGACCTTTTGACGATTCCGGGAGTTGGGCCTCGAAATCTAAGGAAGCTGGTGGATAAGGGTATAGCAGGAGTCGCAGAGCTTAAACAGTTGTACAGAGACAAGGTAAGAAAACACTAGCTTCTGGATTATGCCGTTCTGGGCTCTACAAGCTCTGTAATCCTAGTATCCTATACAAAGTTGTAATTTTATAGTATTAAACTGTCATATATAAGCTGTGTTGTCAGATTATGACTCAGGAAAGTTTGAAATGGGGTTATTTCTCCTGTAAAGATTGCCTTTTAGTAGAGCAATGCACTCGCGAGGATGAACTAGAACCTCACCACTAGTTCCATGCCAATTCCTTCCCTTAACAGAGAAAACCCTCTTACTATTGCCAGTCAGGACTTAATAATGAAACACCTTTTGATAAACAAATGGAGCTTTCTTAGACATTTTCTTAATTAGGACATGTTGTGAATTTTTTTTTTTTGATGAGGATATGAAATCTCGGTGGATATTTGTTGCTTAAGGCATGACTTGAGCTACATTACAACTTTACAGTTCCTTGTGCTCGGCTATTATGCAATCTCCTGATAGAAGTTTAGTCCATACTCATGTGCAGTTCTTTGGGAAGTCTAGTCAGAAGATGGTGGAATTTTTACAGAGCTCCGTGGGAATCATTCACAGGAACCATGCAGAAAGTATAACCTTGTTTATCAAGGAGAGCGTGGATGAAGAGTTGGAGGAAGAAAGCTCCAACTCTGATGTGAAACCTACTCAGAAGAAACGGCTTACCTTCTGTGTAGAGGGAAACATTAGTGTTGGAAAGACCACTTTCCTTCAAAGGATAGCCAATGAAACACTTGAGCTACGTGATCTCGTTGAGGTGGTTCCTGAGCCTATTTCCAAGTGGCAGGATGTGGGACCTGATCACTTCAATATATTGGATGCTTTCTATGCAGAGCCACAGAGGTATGCTTATACTTTCCAGAATTATGTATTTGTAACAAGGGTCATGCAGGAAAGAGAATCTGCTGGTGGAGTTAAACCCCTTAGACTGATGGAAAGGAGTGTCTTCAGTGATCGGATGGTATGCACCTTATTTCTTGTTCATATTAAGAAATTAGACATAATTTGCTACGAAATTACCGGCATTAATGGTTTGGAAGTTGATTATTTTTCTTTTTCGTTCTGTTGTATTATAATAGGTATTTGTACGAGCTGTTCATGAAGCAAACTGGATGAATGAAATGGAGATTAGCATTTACGATTCATGGTTTGATCCAGTTGTTTCTTGTCTGCCCGGGCTTATCCCTGATGGATTCATCTATCTAAGAGCAAGTCCTGATACATGCCACAAGAGGATGCTACTGCGCAAGAGAGCAGAGGAGGGTGGGGTCACCCTGGATTATCTGCGTGACCTACATGAAAAACATGATAGTTGGTTGTTCCCCTTCCAAAGTGGCAATCATGGTATCTTGTCTGTCAGTCAGCTACCCCTTCGTATGGACAGCTCTTTACATCCTGATATAAGGGACCGTGTGTTCTATTTGGAAGGAGATCATATGCACTCTAGTATCCAGAAGGTAATCATCTTGCCTACACCTTTACCATCACCTCTCATATAAGATCATATCTTATCTTACTAGTGTTCGCTCCTCACCAGGTTCCTGCTTTGGTATTGGATTGTGAACCAAACATTGATTTCAGTAAAGATATCGAAGCAAAGCGACAGTAAGTTTACATACACCCTTGTGCTATGTTTTCCTAAATTTCCTTATATAGTTAAACTGTTAAAGACTTAAAGGTTGCAAAGGCAGCCCAAGCAACAGTGTTGCTTCCTGCAGTCCCTTGCCCAGGCAAGAACTTCCCTTTTGTTTACAAATTCATAGCTCTGAGGAGCACAAGATGTTGCGGAGCCAGTTGGGCTAAATTACTTTTATAATGTGGAAGAATCTCAGTGGCCCCTTTATTTTCTCTGATACAATGCATTAGTGGACCCACTATTGATTGCTGAACTTGTTTCATTCAATTCTATTAGCTAGTGTTGGTCTTTATTGATGGAAAAAGAAAAAACAAAGCCTACACAATCTATACTTGGAGAAACCCATGGTATGGTTGCGTACCATGGGTTGATTGTAAATGAGTTTGACTATCTAATGATTAAATTACCAGGCTAATGACAGACTAATGATGATACACATCAGCCCCATACACGTGGTTCCACATGTTAGGCATATGTGTATTATAATGATTGGTCGGTCCACTATCCTTTTAGAGCATTCTCTCTGAAATAGATACATCTATTAAATGTTTGTTGCATTTGGATGAGAAGCCTTTTGGCTTCATCTTGATTTTCTGATAGGCAAGCTTCACAGGAGAATTTATACTAACATCTTTTCGCTGTTGGTGGTGCTGTGGGGTGTAGGGCTAAAATTGAGATTGTGTGCTAATGAGCACATAAAATATTATTGTGATGCATCAATTTCAATATATCATTCTCTGAAAGATGCTTTCTTTTCTCACCCAAAATGTTTCTGAAAGGAAAATGAACTTGAGATTAACTGAGTGGATTGGTGTGTATTATCACTTAAACTGATTTATTTATTTAAATTCTGTCCTTAACATTTCAATCGTGGTTGATTTTAAGGTATGCACGGCAAGTTGCAGAGTTCTTTGAGTTTGTGAAGAAAAAGAAAGAAGTTGAGTCTCCACAAGCTGACAACGAAGGAAAGAACTCAAACCAACAGGTAATGCTTCCCCACAAGGGTGGACTCTGGGTGCCAGATAGGAATCATTTCCCAGAGTCTGCACTGAAATCACTGGAATTCAGACGAGCTATATCATTCCTGTCTGGTTAGCAGCAGTTTCAAGTTCTTTCACCACCAATCTGGACATGGTTCAGCTCCTGCATGTAAAAAGTGTTTTTCCTTTCATGTAGAGCAAGTTTTGGATTGAGAAATGACAAGAAATGCTTTGTAGATTTTCAACTCCGATTTAGAAAAAGCCAATGTCGTCTCTCTCCCTCTCTGCCATATGTTCTAGACTTCAGTAGATGTCGAATGGATATCTGATTCCTACTGCCTATTATCTTGAAACAAAAGATGGTTTGCTCCAATTCCTTGATTTCAGCCATTGAAGTTCAAATCTGAAAATTGGCCAAATTTAAGGAGGTAAATTTCCTCCTATTTTAGCCAAGTTTGATATCCTTTTAAGCTAGTTGAAAGCAAGGTTGAGGAGTTTTGATGCTTGGATATAATTGGATGGTTGGACCGTTTAGACTGGGAATTTGGCCTGTCAAACTGGTCATAATGGGTTCGTGTGTTAACAATTTATTTAGATTATTACAAATTTTGATAAGCATTCGCCAAACTCTATATACCTATGTTTTAACATTGTAAAAATGTGGACCATGTAAATGTTTCTTCTGAGTTTTGAATTACCTTTTATCTTATATGAACTAGTCTAGCGGTTTACCACTTTACCAGATGAGGGGCCATTAAACCTATGACCTAGACTAGGGCTGTCAATGGGTTGGACAGAGCTAAACTTAAAACTAAATCAACCCGATTCCAATTGGTTCTGAACCTATTAAGACGCGTTATACAATTCATCATCATGCCCAAACCTAATGTCAAATGGTCAACTATATGGGGTTCTGTTACATGAATCCTGTTTTGCTAATCCATGGTTAAATTATTTCTTACTACTATAATACTATTTATATCCATTTTTGGTCTACCTTTAGCCCTTATACTCTCCCTCAACTATCACTACAAAGCAACAGGAAACAGATTTTGCAGGCGGTCTACGACACATTGACAATATAGTCTATGCCTATTTTTCTCAATGTATTTGTAAATCTTATCATATCATGATGTTGAAATAAGTTGTTTTAACAGATAAGTAGTAGGTTTGTTCAATTCAGGATAAAAATATAGCCTCAATTAATATCTACTAATTGGGTTAGTTCTGAACCTTCTGGTCTTCTGGGTCAAACCCTATGGGGTTTAGTTCGGAACTTTTGGCATATTTATTTTTCAGGTTGGCATTGGATCTACACTGATCCAGAGTCCAGACCATACCTCCATTAACAATAATAGATACCCACAGAGAGTCATACAATAGGTGGTAGTGACCATTATTTGGTTAAAAACTGAAAAGCTCAACTAAAAATTTTGGTTTTTAAGTTAGAAATTCAATTAACCAAAAAACCAAATTAATTGAAATTTTATTGAGTAATATGTAATATATGATATATGATATAAAGCATGTATTTTGCTTTGTGGGTATTTCGTGATAAATGTTTATCAAAACGTTATCACGTCATTGTTAAATTAGCATTTTTCTTATCATATTCATCCGTACAAATTGATATTTACAAAAGTGGGTTTTGATTTTTTTTGTACACTAATTGGGGGGAGAGTTTTATTTTAACGCTTAAATGGTTTGAATAAAAAGACAATTTTACCCTTGAGACATAAAACAGAATTGTTTCCTGCCTTGTGCTTGAACAACCCTAAAAAAAAAAGTCCTTTCAAAACTGGTTTTCATTGGTCCATCAATAATTAAAAACAGATTCACTGATTCATATTTTTAGGTAATAAGATGATATATATTAAACTGCAAAGAGGAATATAGAGGAGAGTAGCAAGAGATGCAGAAATGATTATGATGTTCAGGAGATGAGCTTCTTTTCTATATTGCTTCTCGTCTTCTTTCTATTCTTCCATAGTTGGGGGTGCTTGTTGTTAATGTTGCAAGCAAATGACTTTTATTTGCAGACTCATCGCCACCGCCTAAGATTGTGGCTCCATCTCTACCTTATCCACGAGTTGTGGTTTATGATGGGGTCTGTCATTTTTGTCACACGGGGTGAAGTGGCTGATCAGGGCAAACAAATATAAGATCAAGTTTTGTTGCCTTCAGTCCAAGGCTTGGACTGCTGAACCCCATTTGACACTGTTCTGTGTTGATCAAGATGTTTTTTTTTGTCGATTTTTGTTGATTGAAAGCTTGAGTTTATACCATAATGCCCAACGGTTGCACTAAAGAGTGCAACTTACCAACCACTATTTTACTCTCCTAAATCCAGTACAATTAACACCCCTAGTTGGGTATTAGGTTAGAAGAAATCTTTCATCTATGCATAATACACTATTTAGAAGCAAACTAGGATGATCGTTGAGCTGTGGAAGGAATCTTTCATCTATACTCGTTGCAAGCTTTTTCAATCATATTTGCATTCTTGAACATTGTTGAAGTTGTGGAAACAATTAGATCAAGGTTTAAAATTTTAACATAATATGCTCAGTACAGAAAATAATAAGAAATGGGTTTTTTTATTTATTTTTCCACTGTTTCGTTATGATATACTCTGTATCAATAGCATATTGGTGAATGGAAGCATATCAGTGAGTATCAGAAGTGTATTAATGGATACGCCACTGATACGCTTCCGATACACTATTAATCATGCATGATCATTAAACCAAAGCCACATGAGAAGGAAAAAAGCTCCAACAACTCATTATAGATAGATATTTATTGTTGATGAGATAGATGTTACATTAAATAAACTTGATTCATGTCTATAATACATACACAGATAGTACACGCCCAATACTTTGAGAAAAAAGGGTCAATGATCTACTATTGGAAAGTGAAGACTGTTCTATGAATCCAGATAGAGAACATGAAAAGCCAAACTAGACCAACACAGCAACACTTAAATCGCTTGAAATCAAATGTTTCATTGTTGTTATATACGCTAATTTATGTTGGACTAGACATTTCAGAAAATGTAATTCTTTTATTAGATTTAAGGTTCAAAGAAGGTCATTACATTATTCGATCCATTGGTGAAATCTAGGCCTGACAAGCATGAGAACATGAACTGAAGTCTAAGAACCACTTTATGCAAGAAAATGCCAAATATTCATGCCCACCTCTTCCATGACAATGGTAGCTGGAACTAACATTGGGTAATGACCATTAAATTTCTTTATACAATTTATATTAAAAAATGTTGGAGCTATTTCATATACAAAATGCTACCACACATCCAACCATGCCAATGATTTTTAGTTAGAAAAGATGTTAATTTGTATTAACCCCCAGACCCCAATCAAGATTCTAGAACTTAGTTGTTCTTAAAAAGAAGGAGAAAATAAGATAGAATTTATCTATTCCACTTTCATTCCTTGATAAATATCAAAATAAGTAGGTTTGTCTGAAAGTTGCCAATTTTTCTCTTGATATTTCCTTCTCATATTAGTTTACCAATTTTACAAGCACATACATTTATAATTGTTTGATAAATACAAAGTTGGTGCCCAAGCTTTTATGAACTACTAGATTATTTTCTTTTTCTTCTAACATTTAAAGATGGGATTATCTTTATTCCAACATGTAAAACATTGTAAATTATAGAAAATAGTAATGAATCATACCAAGGACCAAAAGAATGCAAAATGCAATGCTTCCTTAAGTTGCTTGTTATAATTCCTTTATTTTTACAAAGGCAAAACAAAGGTGTTCCTTTCATCCTCTGTGGATGCTAGTAATAAGTCTCTAAGGGCTTTTTCTGCATTGCTTGAGCATGGTATGTGGGTGTTTGGGCTACGTTCTTAACCATCTTGTTGTGATAGTCTTGCCCTTTTTTGTTTATTTTCCCTTCTGACTTTGATATCAATAATTTCTTATTTACTAGTGAAAGAAAAAATAATGAAACTAATATCAAAGAGCCATATTATGATTGATAAATTTGTAGGAAGTGCATCAACATCTTCATTACCTGAAATAAGAACTATGCCTTTGATTAAGAATTGGTAGCATGGGCAGTTGGCATGAGTAGTAAATATGGTGATTCCAATTCTTCAAAAGGTTTCTATTGTCAGTTAACACTGTCAAGAAGAAGCAACAATCATACAGCATTATAAGGATGTTTGGGGAACCAATCCAAAAGGAAACAAAAACCCTTAAGATATAGACACAAAGATGAATCCTACAAGGCCTCCAATGCCCTTACCCTTGGTCAAATGGTTTTGCCAAGCCAGCTCATTCCTACGAGTGATTATGCTTTTAAACAAACCAAAATTCAAAGGAAAACCAAAACCCTAAAAATATTTATGGAAATTTTAGCTAAATTGTTGAAGAAACTTAAAAAAGAGGAAAATTAATTAAAAATGAAAATAAAAAACCGAGGTTTTAGATTTTCTTTATCATTAAACAATTTAAAACTTTGCAGCTAAAGGGAATATGAGGAGAACCTTTAAAATGGGTTTTATAGTAATAAAAATATTTCATTCAAAAAGAGAAAGACATGGGCAAAGAAATGAAAAAAGAGAGGGTGAGACGAATTAGAGTGCAGGGAGGTACTAGAGTTTTAGCAACAAACTTTTTCGACAAAGATGGATAGAGATTTATGTTTTAGTGTCTTTTAGAGAGGGGCATAAGCTAGGAAGAGTGGGACACTGGAGTGTGAAGAAAATCCATCACTATTGTTGCAGATTTCAAGGAGTGGAAGTGAATAATCTAATGAAGCCATAAATTTCCATGGCACACATAATCCATGCCAAGCTCAATTTGAACCTAAATCTGAAATTCAAAAGCCAAATTTTAAAATATACAAGTTGAAACTTTTATTGGAAATAATGTGAAATAGGAGGTAACCCATTTCCCGTTAACATTAACTAACAAAAATTAGATGTTGACTTAGTAACTTATATAGCAAAGTTGGTCTACCATTAAGAGAAAGAATACCCCCCTCAACATTGAATCCTATTGAGAAGAAACTCCATTGAAAAAAGGATGTAAATTTTCTAGTTGAAAACAAAAATTAATCATAAACCAAGTAGGTACAACTTCCAAATCTCAACCCCACATGTTGGACAAGTTTGAATTTTCAAAATGTAAGGGGTCCCGAAGCTTTAACCTAAATGTTAAATGAAGCTCATTCAATTGCATAGATAGATGGAGAGAAGATGCCCACACGATCTTATTATTAGGAACAAAATGAGGAGTTTTCCCATCAATAAACTATTTACCCTTATTAAGAAAACTCACCTTCACTATTTATGC